AAAATAGAAGCTCTATATTTCATGTAATATTAATTTATGCATAAAAAAATTTTAAATCCCCTAGTTTAAAAAATAATGACTCAAAAAAAATTAAACTTATTGTAACTCATAAGTCATTTTTATACCAAACATCAGCTCAATATCTGAAAGCGTTTAAAAAAAATCGGAAAACCAAATTTTAAAAATTGACAGACAGACGGAAGGACAGACAGACGGACTGACAGACTGAGGAAAACCAAACCTCTCTGGTTTCACTGTAGGGGACTAATATTTGTAAATGCAGATAACAATTTAAATAAATTTCCCTTTTTATTGAAAAAGCAGCTATAATGATGTCAAAAAGTCTACCTTCAACAGGTCGGAGAGAATACTCGAAATCGGGTATTATCCGTGAAATCGCGTATAATACTTGATATTAGGGATGTTAATGCAAAATGCGTTTTCCCTAATTTTATAAAAACAAAAGAATAAAGCAACGGCGCATTATGCCATTTACTGTTACTTGTGCATCAGTATCTTTGGTTTATTTTTATTAACCCTAATTCATATGGTTGTCAAATAAGTTTAAGATCACACGACAAACACTGCTGGGGTAACAAAGAGGACAAAATGGCGTTATTTTTTTTAATATGATTTCTAAAAACAATAACTACACTTCGTTTGTTTTTTTCCCAAAAATATTCCATATACTTAATTTTTTTTGTGCCTTTCACAAAATGTGAAACTAACGCCGTGTTATTTTTTTTACTAAAAAATTTTTCCCTAACAGTTAGAGAGTACAGTATAAGCGAGTCATAATTGTATATCTCTGCCATAATAAATACCAACGTTATTATAAAAAAAAAATAAAATAAGATTAAATAAATACCCACGGGAAAACATTGAAAGTAGCTAATTAAAGGGATATTTTTTTATGTAAATTTAGCATGGAAATTTTTTTCAAAAAACCGAAAATTTTTTGGTTGCATTTTAATCGATACAAGATATGCTATTTTCCTTTTTTTATGCAGTTGTGTGAAAATTGAGAGCGAGAAGTCATAAAAAACAGGATTTTTTTTTTTTTTTTTGGGGGGGGGTATAAATAAAAGTCAAATGTGTACATCTTTTCATGAGTTTAAAAATACATTAAATTTTCTAATATAGATGAGGTCAGTCATGTTGAAATATGAATTACATAGTCAAGTTTTCACATTTCTTATAGTTTTTACGTTTATGAACTGATAATGAACAAACTGAAATAATGGAGTGTTCAATTGCCTTGGAAACTTTAAGTCTTATTTTTTAAATTTTCCTATGGACTTTAAAATTTCATAAAAATTGTAGCCACTTTTTTTTTTATTTTTTATACTACTAGACGGGGTAAATTTTACCTCTTCCCCATATTTTTTTTATATCGCTATCTTATACCTCATTATAATATGCTAATACAATGCACTGTCTGACTGGTTCTAGACAATATGTCACATTTTTTTTGTTATTTTTTTGATACTTATTACTCATGGCAATAACGTTTCCATAACTCCTCTATAATGAAAAAATGTGTTAAAAAATAAACATGAATTTGTTTTTTTGTCTCATATTTTGTTAGAAAATAACATGTTTTTTTGTTTACCAATATGATTTTTATTTGATGAATAAATCTTTCCCTAATTTAAAAATATATAACCAAGTTTAACCGACCTTGACATTCAAAGAGAGGGCTTTTGGACAAAGTAGTACACAGTGAGGTTGTTTTTTCAGAGGTGGTCAAGAAGCCTTTACCCCCCCCCCCCTTTAAATAAAAAAGGTAAAATATTGATGCTTACGAAATTAAACATCAACAGTTATGTTCTCTATAAGCTTTTTCCTGAAACTATCACTGTCTCTGCTAAAATGTTGAAAACATATTCTGCAAATATTATGAAAGATAAAAAAAAAAATTTTCCAAAAAAAAAAGAAAAAGGGGGTTTTTTTGCCGAAAATTTTTAAAAAATTTTCATCATTACTATATTTATACTTCTAAATAAATTTGATTTTATGCACAAGATGAATGTGAAAGTAATTAATGACCATAATTAGATACGATAGACAATCTCTTGTTTATACATGGCATCATATCTTGTGTGTGAAATGTGTTTCCGTATAATTTGATTTATTTACAAATTGTTCATTGTCGTGTTCAAATTGTCGTGTTGATGTGGGAATTTTTATAAATTCCGAATTCTGATACTTTACAAATTCGTTTGTTGGGAATGAACATGAGGAAGATGCATATCTTTCAACATTTGAAAAAAAAAAGCAAATCGAACGCCTTTTTGTGTGCAGATCATGAAAAGTACTGAGCTCCACGGGGATTTGTTGTCCTGGGCGGATTTTTGACGCCCAAATTCTTACTTCGCTAGTGATACCTTTAGAAAACATGTTATTAGATGAAAGTTAACTCGGCAACATGCGCCATCCCATTGTTTAAGTTTTATTTGGTGATTACACCTCCTATACCCGATTTCGCGGATTCAACATACCCTGATATCGAGTATAATAATACGCATTTCACGGATAATACCCCATTTTGAGTATTCTCTCCGACCTGTTCAATTCATCAAGGGAAATATTTATACAGAATATAATGTTAAAAAGTCGTACGTTTTTAAGTTCTTATTTTAGTAAAATTTTGTATTTCAAATTTTCCAAAAGTTCCTTTGGATGTTTATGTATCCGTATATGATTTAAAAACTGTCAATATATTGTTGCACAGTGCAAGTGAATTTTTTTTACTATAATTTTAAATTTTAATTTTCAGTAATAATTTTAGAAAGAGGTTGGAAGAGCATTTACTGGAGCCCGCTTGGTGTATTTTGTAAGGATTTTGATGGAGTTTCTGTTCTAATAAAGATATGCTAATTAAAATTCATTTGTTTTGTTGTTGGGAATTTAAAAATATTCAAAACTGATAAATCATATTGAAGAATTTCCTGCTGAAAAAGGGAGCTTTGGGTATATTTTGGTCTAACACAAGTAGAATGAAATCCCAGTTTTCTAAAAAAATTCAATTTAAATATTGAGCCTTACAAACAAAGAAATATTGTTATCTGCTTTGTGTGGGACCAATCATAAATTAACATTCTGCAAAAAAGCCATTAAACATAAATACAGATATTCAATAAATTGATTTTTTGTCAACTATTCTAATAAAAAAAAAAAAATCCTGAAAATGAGTAAATTCAACTCATTCTTCTTTCGTGGATAGTTATATAATATAGTACACATTCTAAATAGTGTTGCAGTTTTCAATCTGTTGAACTGATTTGCCTTAAAATTCCGATATGAGTAAAAAGCATCTTCAAGATTCCCTGTGACTTGCTGACAAATTTCCCCGGGATTGGTAGGATATGTCCAGAATTGCATATGGTACCTTAAAGTTCTTATTCTCGCAGATCAGATTCTTTAATGTACTTAAAGCGTTTTTGGGCCTTTTTTTGGGAAAAACCAAATTTTAGCAAAAGATTTCTAGCATGTGAAACAATAAAATGGTGGAATAAATAAAGTGTTTTTTTTTCCGTAAATAAACTGTTGTTCTGGTATAAGCTCATTTAAATAGTTAATTCCATTGAAAAGTCTGACATCCCTTGCAACGCTCTCTTAGTCTTTGTAGACCATGATTTTCCTCCTACAGCAGCAATATCGATCTTCATCTACAGATCTATTATCTTAGCGACTGCTTTGCAAACTTTACCCTTATCTTCTTAAAAAGACAGAGCTTTCCCAAAATTCTTGATGTTTTGTAGTAATACGCTACAACTAAAAGCTTATCAACAAAAAACCAAATTTTGCTGCTAATTTTCTGAACAGGCAAATTTATCCACGCTGTACGAAAATTTGTTGGTGCCTTTGTTATTGGACTGAAATAAAAATGCCAATTTAAAAATATGGAGGCCTAAATTTTGTAACGCAGCAACATGATATGGGATAGTGGTAAATTTTATTGATTTTTTGTGTTAAGGTACTTAATTGATGTTATTATGTCGGATGCATCGGATGCAGCCTTATTAAATATCTCAAAATATAGCTCCTCATCAAAATTAGTCTCAGAGACGAAGAAGTTTTCGTTTGTGGAAAAACCAAAGAGTATGGGATTATTGCGAATCACATGCGTAAAGTACCAGCTGATCAGAGGGATTTGTACGATAGCCTGTCGTCTTCTGTCATACAATTCAGACAACCTTCGGAATAGCATTTCCTGCACACTCTGACTATTTATTTTATTGAGGAACATGTTGTTTTCTGGAATGAAAAAGTTTGGACAGACACCGTTGTAAACCCATTTCAGAATATGTTTGAAACAGACATCAAAATTCTCCAGATATTTTGTGGACACCAGCAAGATACTGTGTTTTGTTGAATTACCCAGAATACGGCTGTTTTCATATGATATGAACAGAGTTGTTTATCATTATCAGTTAGTCCTTTGTTTATCACTTCCTTTAGAAATAACTTTAACAATCCGTAAGTAAGGAATTGACAGTGATTCATTGAGTACACCAGTTTTTGCTCAGCGAGAGAGAAAGATATTCTCCATTCAAAGTCTTCATGATTTCCCATTTTGTGACCTATTGCCACAAAATGGCATCCATGTTTGACTATGTCATGGACAACTTCAGGCCTTGGCCAAGTACTGCATCTTTTTATCCATGAGGACGCAGATGGGGGCCAAAAATCAGAGACGAAACAGAAAGCTTGGTCATATTTTAGTGGCCCAATAAAACAATTGGCACAGGGCCCATGTAATGTGGCACTGTATTTAATAAAAGAGAAAAAAACTTCAATGCCATCTGCCTGAATTTGGAGCTAGATATATAATACTCTCCATTTCTAACGACAAGTGCTTCTATAGTATCCTTATTGTTTATAAAAGTAATAAACTGAAGTAAAGCGTATCCTGGTAAACTTTTGGAGCAATCAGCAAAAATAATCCCTGTTCTGGATGGATTGTATGATTGTATCTGAGAAAATTCCCAAATCACTCTATGATCGTTGAACCATTTCATTGAGTCTAAATCTGATCCGATGAGCCGGAATCCTTCTCTTTGACTTCCACTCTCCATGCTACTCATACTCTCATCACTTGATCTGACTCTTTGTTCTACCGCCTCTATTACGTCTGCCACATCTCTCCTCATGGCAATAACTTCAGAAGTCCCAATTACAGAACAAAGTCCCCCAAACAGCGTCAATGATATGTGCTGTTCCATGTCGCGAGTACCTGAAATTTAACAGAAAATAGCACAAAAGTAGTTGCAGGGAAATATCCTATATATAGGATTCACAAGTATATATTTGTACCTGTTTTACTTCCTTTTCCGGCAGCTTCGGAATTAGGGTGCGAGAATAAACTTTGAAAAATAATTCCAATGTGATTTTTGTTTAAGTTAAAATATTTTTTAAATCAATCAATTGGTACTATGCACCGTCTTCTTATGTGGTTCATATGAAGTCTGATATCTAGTATTCGTGAAACATAATAGAAGTTTAGTATTACTTGACGTCAATTCATTTAAACATTCCTATACATACCTGTAAATGATTGCTAAACAAATGCTGACAAAGAAATAGAGAATGCATTAAAGTTAAACCTGTTAAAGATCGATTGTTTTTTCTTAAACATGACAATAAGTTTTGTATTGCAATTTTAAACTTCTCGCAGTGCACACATTCAGACAGTCAGGGATTGATTAGTCAAAAATCATTGCACAATATATATTATAGAGGTTAATGCTTGCTCTGCTTGCAATTAATTTTTTGTGAATTGATTGGACTTTGAGCGGTTTTACTGTTTTTCTTCACATATTATTATCTTGCAAGGGAGAATAGCATCTTTTCTTAGCAAATCTGATGCAAATACGTATATACATTACATGTACATGAAATTTTCTCAACATTTTTAGAGAAGTTGTAAAGTTTAACGCGGAAAGAGCATTATTATGAACATAAGTCATTAACATCCAAATTGCAAGGAATGCCATGTTTAATCTCAAAATGAATTTCAGATCTTTCATTTTTAGTTCAATAAACTAAATAAACACTTTTCTTACAAATATTTAATCATGATTTACAAACTGAATTGTCGACGGATTTTCTTGTGATTTCCCATTCATGACAAGGAGCACACGGTAGGTGTGACTGGTGAGCATGGGATGCTCACTCCTCCGTAACACCTGATCCCAGGTCATTATTTGACGTCAAAAAAAGACCCTTTTGCCCGTAGAAAAAGTCTCACCCCTAAAAATCTGCATTAAGCCTAAATGAAGGAAAATGAACCCCGTAGAATAATGACCCATTGTAGATTTAAGCTGAAATTAAGAGAACTGTTGGTCAAAATGCTCACCTGGGCTAAATTAGGAATAAATTAATGATGTACGTGTTGATCTCATTACATTTATACAATTATTGCTGTTTTTAAAGTGAATACAATGATTCAGAATCTTGAGGAGTAGAAGATTTATCGAGCCCAAAGAGCGAAGTAAAAACTGTTTTTCGATGGTCGAATATCGTCATATTGACAGCAAAAAAAAAGCAATAATTGTTTTAAAAAAGAATTTAACGATTAAATTGATACATACTGAAAAAGCAGATATTTCAAGTTTTTTTGACAATGTTTACATTTCCTTTAGTCTTAGCCAAACACAGTGAAAGAATTGGAGTTTATATACGCGTAACAAGTATTAATTTTTTGCATTTAAAATCTTTTTGGTGCAAATTCTAGCAAATGTCAGACGTCGTGGAAAGGGTAAATGGAGCAATATAAGAGACAAAAATGACAAGTTACCATAAAAGTTACCATAGAAGTATCTTTGATGAACCCTTCTAAAACTTTATTGAAGAAAGGGAACTTTCCTTTTACTCTATTCTTTCAAATGGTTAGAGTTAAGGCAACCAGAATTGCAATGAACATTTTGAAGCGAAAAAAAAAATAATTTACATTCATGAAAACGAAAGGGGAGACACGCCCCCCCCCCCCCCCCCCCCCAAACCTTGAATGTTATCATGTTCACTTTGTCCGACGAAGTAGGGTGACTATATGACTTTCAATGTACATTTTCAAACTAGAAATTGCTGAAATTTACATAAGAAATTAAGGGTATATTCCACTTATCCTCCGATCTCGTGAAGTAAGGATCTAATTATGAAGTTATTTTATTACAATAATAATGGATGTTTAAATGACAAATCAAAATCACACATTATAAAAACATGCATATGTTATGTACACTGCTATTGGGTGTTGAAAGGTCGCATCAAGTTCACTTTCACATTGCATGTGTATCTTTAGAATGGGAGAAGATCGTCCATTTTAGTTGTGAATTGCGAAAATACATATCCAGGGGTTTTAGTCACCAATTTAGACTCATTGAGAGTCATTGCACTTGTGATATATGTTGCTATTTGTTATTTTATAAACTGATGGGCTGTATTGCTCAGTTATACCGGGTATTCTGAATTCAGTAAACTATAATAGTAGATAAACTAGGAAAATAATAACAATGTTGTTCTAGAATTGAATGTGTATTTAATGATGTCTATGAAAAGTACAAAGTAAATGTATCATATTCGCAAACAACTTTGTATAAATATTCCATCATAGCATCAATCAAAGCTAGACCTTTCAGTCAATTAGGGCATGTCCTACGCATGCTTAACTAACTCCCAAAGTAGTCTATATATTACATATAGCTGGTGTGAAAATTTATGGAAAATAGTACCATACACATCATATTGATTTAATTTGAAATATTTGCAGATAACGAATAGAATTCAAGCTCAAAAGTTCATTAAACACAGACAAAAATATTCGGAAGGGTTTGAGAGAATATCTTTAATTATTTGCTAAGAGTCGCCGAAATATGGCTGAAATATTGCCGACACGTCCTTAAACAGCAATCGATCAATCAATCTTCTCAAAAGAAGTACATCAGAACAAAAAATTCTCAGTTTAGGATTGTGATCACTTGTAGGAAAGAGTATACTAGTATACTTTGTGACCGTTTAAATACTTTTGCTGATGAAGTAGAGCTAATCAATGAATCCCAAACAGGATTTAGAAAAGGTTATTCTACTACTGATAATATATTTGTGATTGATTTTTTGAGTAAATATGCCCTGAAGTTTACTTGTATAGATAAATACATTTACTGAAGAGTCATTTAGGTTGTGCAGTCCTTAAATAAAATGTAGGTTTAGTGAACCAAAGTAATATGAATCTATGTTATTCAACCAGCTATATATCAGAAACTGCAACTGACCCTTGAAGAAAGACTTTCAAGTAAAACTATCACCATGTTTATTGAAATGATAGATTATAACTAACCTATAACTGAAATACCATATATATATGCCCATATACTTATCAACTAGCCACACTGAAGGACTGGAATTGTACCACAAATAATAACTTTAAATAACATAATAATCTGAAACTTTTAAGTTAAATTAGTATTTTGAATATAATACTGACCAATTATTGAATGAAACAAACTGCTGAAACATTATACTGAATGTTTCAAAAGAAAACTGTTGGAACATTATACTGAATGTTCCTGAAACATTATACTGAATGTTTCAAAAGAAAACTGTTGGAACATTATACTGAATGTTCCTGAAACATTATACTGAATGTTTCAAAAGAAAAACTGTTGGAACATTATACTGAATGTTCCTGAAACATTATACTGAATGTTTCAAAAGAAAACTGTTGGAACATTATACTGAATGTTCCTGTAACATTATACTGAATGTTTCAAAAGAAAAACTGTTGGAACATTATACTGAATGTTCCTGAAACATTATACTGAATGTTTCAAAAGAAAACTGTTGGAACATTATACTGAATGTTCCTGAAACATTATACTGAATGTTTCAAAAGAAAAACTGATGGAACATTATACTGAATGTTCCTGAAACATTATACTGAATGTTTCAAAAGAAAAACTGTTGGAACATTATACTGAATGCTCCTGAAACATTATCCAGAATGTTTTCAAATAAATAATTTTTGAAGCATTATACTGAATGCTTCTAAAGGGAAAACTGTCGAAACATTATATACTTAATATTCCCAAAGAAAACCTGGTAAAACAATAAACAGAATGTATTTTGAAGCAAACTTTTGAAACATTATACTCAATGTTCTATCAATATATAAGATTCCCAAGTAAAATGTTGAAACATTATATTAAATGTTTCCCAAGAATAATCTGCTAAACACATGAAACATCTGAACTGAAATTTTACAAGTAGCAACCAACATGTCATACTGGTATTCTAATCTATAATAAAACAGATATAGTTATGTCTATCACAGCAACTGAAACGACTGTTCTCTACGTTTATGACATGTACATTGAATTTAACCATGAAATTGCATCAAACGATAGGAAAATAATGAGATAACAAACAGGATGTCTACGAGGAACACTTTGTTTTACTAAATGAAGCCCAGTATACTAAATATCATCACTGAATGCTTATATCAAACATAAGAAAGATTGCCAAACATTAAACTTTTGTACCCCTTTTCGTTTTTTTTTTTTTTTTTTTTTTTTGAATTAGAATAAATATTGAATGAGACTATCTACAGTCAACCATCATTAATGACTTAGAAATGTATGATCAAATATCCAGACAATGGTACTTAATTCAGTACTGAATCATTAGCTATACTGGCCTAATTTCCTTTGAAGTGATGATGATGGCATTGCGTATACTGCGCAGAAACTTCCTCATTGGCTGATCATTGGACGGTGTGCACTGCAGATGTACTCCATCTGGTCCCAGATATGAGAGGCTATTCCAGAACCCCCGGTGAGGCCAGTAGACAATTCCTTTCAACCCAGTTGTCATCTCCCGTAGCGCCCGATTTACCTCGTACACCGTGTCATTGAAATTGATACATGCTGCATAGGGAAGGCGACGCAGTAATTGGCCGATAATTACTTTTTGAATACCAACCCCTTCATGTAAATAATTTGCAAGCGAAAAAATGTCTTGTGCAATTTTTGAGGCCTTACTTTCAGGAACAATGTCATTTTCACCAATCTGTAGAAAACAAATATCCGGGACATTTACAAAATGCACAATGTTAGCATCGCTTCGAAGATGCCGTAAACACAGACCCCCTTTTCCTCGAATTGACACAAAGAACTTATCAGTGTCCAATCGTAGATAAGGAATGTTCTGTTGAGCTGCATAAACTTTCAAACGCCGTACATAAGAATGGCCAACTATTGCAACAGAAATTGTTTGATCCGCCGCCATGACCGACTATCCCTGGAATCCCGCACATAAACAATCTCTTTTTCCAATGATGCAACCAATGAGTAGTCCGTAATATCACACACAATCGATAATGTTCGTAACAGAAACAAAACTTACAATTTTCACAGTCCAATAATGGATACAAATGCAAAATCAATTAAAATCCAAAGGGCTAAAAACGTGTGTCCTCGAATCAATGTTTGGCAATAATAACAAAACCACGTGACTCTTTATTTAATTCTCATTGGATAATGCGCCATCTGCTTGGCTCATATTTCCTGGGGCTCAACACAGGGTTAAATCAACGGGGGTTCCAAAAGGGGGCAACTATTTTTACAGGAAAAGTATCGCCATAAATGCTATTATCTACATAATAGGTGTTGCTTGTATATATGTATATATGTACCTCTTGTACCAGTGATCTGGTTTTGAGCGAATAAAGAATTGAATTGAAAGTGCGTAAAATACGAAGAATAAAATTTTGTAAATGCATTGTTATAATCTTCTCTATATTTATTATGGGTATTTTTGATAATTAATATTAATTTCGTCGTTAATTATGACCTATTAACTTACCTCTAAAAGAGATTGTAGAATACTAAAGTACAGTGTATCTTTTTTGCTACGACTTTTACAGTACAGGGCTCATATCGAACTTTAAATTTTCATTTATCTAGAGTGTAGATTATTTCTCTTTTAGCTCACTGAAATTTTTAAAAGAAAGTTATTTAGTCAATGTCAAAATCTTAAACAAAATTAAACAATACCTGATGTTTAACCGTTATGGCTGCTGAGCTCTTTACTAGACTCCATATCACGTGACCTGCATTTTTGTGTCACTTAAACTTCCTGGCCATTAATTTTAGCTCTCTGAATTGTGGCTTACGTTATGTACAAATGTATAATTATCTTTTGATGTTTTACTATCCCATCACAACGAGAGTAGGGGGAATATGCTAATGAAAAGTGTAAAAAGGGAAGTTTGTAATTTTATCTTTTTGTTTAACACACAAATGAATTATAAAGTGAACCTTTTCACAAAACCCACTTTACAAGATACAATGTACAGGTAATTTAGACAAAAATAGAGATATTATATTGAAGTTTCCATTGCACATCCGCCTGCTCATGGTTCCTAGGGTAGGGTGGGGCCACACTGGGGATCAAATGTTTATATATTGAATAACATATAACAAATTGTAATCATTATAACATCACAATCAATTGTTAACGTTGCCGACATTGTCGTCTAAAAAACAAAAAGTAAGACCTAGCTGTTATAATTATTCATCTTAATATATGCAAGCAACTTTATGTGATGAGAATTTAATTTCGTTCATATCATGGTTTTTAATCGTTCATATCATGGTTTTTAAGGGTAAAGTGGCGTCATTCTTTTTTTCCTTCAATATGGGTAAGGGAGAGGGAAAGACTTCTTTTAAAAATCTTAATACCGAGAACAGCAGGGCCAATGTGACTAAGGTGAACATTGCGATCCATGAGTCTTTTGTAGTACTTCAGTATATTCCTCTATCTTAAACCTACTGTGTAATAATCTTTATTAACAGTCATTTATTTTTTGCTCATTATACACCCTGCTTGAAAGTGAAAATTGCATATTTTTAATTAAAGTTTGGGGTTCCAAAACCCATCCTATATTTCTGAATAAAATGTTATGGGACTTCTACAGAATCAATATTAAATAGTGTCTATGTGGACCTATTATTTTACACGTTGATCAGATTTTGCCATAACACAACATCGACACTGCCTTTCAGCCTGCACCACAGATTAAAATTTACATACTTTCATGGAATCTTTATTACATAAAGTCATGTTGGACCTCATGTCATTTTTATATATTTGAGGTTCCCAAGGCTAAACCTGGTCACTTCCATTCTTTCTAAAGAAAATTGGAGTTATTCATCTGTTATCCATGAATCCTCCAAAACACTGCATATTTTTTTAGTTTTTCACACAATTTTCATTAGCATAGTACCATTTTTTTCTATTTTAAATTTTGATCGGGGAGACATTTGGGGTTTCTATGGCTAAAAATGTATACATATTTGAATTGAAGGGGGGCATTTTTCGACCGATCACTGTACTTACCCGATTACATTCAGATATTATTAAGAAATGATTGTAGGGTACAAATACCAATTAAAACCAGTTTTTATCTCAGTGAAAAGATGCTCATATCATGTTGTAAAGGATAATGTGACACATAACTGCTATCTGGGGTCCCTTTCTCCACAACGAATTATACGCGGTATTTATTCTACAACGATTTTGATAAGTTTTCAAACATGGGTGAATAATTATGACGCATTTTGAATAGTTTCAATAGTTCCGACACATTTTCAATTGCACATCACATTTCGAATCTGAGATTTAAAAAGTTGTATGTCGCAAATTTTAAGAAAAATCGCATATACTAGTACTACAAATAATTGTATATACTGGTACCAATAAAAATGACGAATGAAACTTGAAAATCAATTTATTTAGTTATCCAATTTAAAATGTAAAACTTATTTTGTTCTTTGGCTGTGACACAAAAGATATTCCTGAGACCACATGACTACATGTACATTATATTTCGTCACTTTTTGCAGCTACAGACATTTGCGCATTTGCAAGATTCAGGTCCGGTGCAGCCTTGTCCACATGCACAATTACCTGCAAAAAAGAGAAACTCTATAATTTTTTTTTAATACACTTAACATTTATGAATTCTATGTATAAAAGACACACACACACAAGAGCGCGTTAGGGTGAACATGCAGCAGTATTAATTATTATAAGAGTTATTTCCCCTTGATAGATCTCTCTTCTTTTTTTGGAAAAAAAAGGTCCAAGGTGGTCTCCCCCTACACACTCATAGACTCGAGCACACACAAACGTCCTCTTATTCATAATGCCGGTCCTTTAAAAGGGCTGAGTGGTTGTGGCCATTTTTAGACATATTTTGGTCTCCTTTGGAAGAAGATATACAAAAATGATCAAATTTTAAAATCAAAATGTATGACTTTTTTTTTTTAATTTATTTATTTTATTTTTTTTTTTTTTTTTGCAAAATGATAGTTGACAGCTTAAGATATCATATCTAAAAAGGTAAGCTACATCTGGTGGTTAATTTGTTGACCCCCAGCCTCCTTAATGCTCCCTTCAGAAGTTAGTAAAATATGGTTTAACCAAATTTCGCTAGAATATTCGATATCAACTCGAAAAATTGCAGGTAACAAATCCATTGAAATAGTATTATCAATCGTTCATTTATGAATGATAACGTTTCATAACAAGAGGCCAAGGGGCCACATCGCTCACCTGAGCAACTGGCTAGGTAAAAGCAAAAATCGGATCAGTATTGAATGTTATATACATTGTATAAAATTGGGTTCAGGGGAGGAGAGGTATAAAAAAAAATCCATTCCAAAAAAACACGTACTCTCTCTCTCTCTCCCTCTCACACTCTCTTGGCAAGTATAAATTGTTTATATAAAGATCAAATTGATCATTGATTATTTTCTATCTGACCATAAAATTCAAAATTTTAGGTATATATGAAAATAAAATAAAAAATGTACTGTCATACGTATCTAATTTGCATTAGAAAACGTAATGAAGCATTGCTTTTAAATCATATCACATTTTTCCTGTGCTTGTAAAATAAAAATACATCCATCTACAAGAGTTATCTTTCCATGAGTCGTTCTTAAACATATTTGTTGTGAAAAAATAAATAATTTTTAATAAATTCTACATCTGAAATTTTTGTAACACTTACAAGAATTTGAGGGATGCAAATATCTCAATTTTCTTAGTTTAAAGGAACTATTTTAGGTAAACTATTATAAGTAATTAATAAAAGAAAATAGCAATATTTGAACAATAGTACAGATTTGAATGAGTTGACTATAAAATGGTCCTCATTATTGAAATTGCCAGGGCAATTTATTTGAGTGCTCGGAACCTCGAAAAGTTATCTCTGTTATCAGAGGGGTGTTACACCTTAAGGGTTTCCTTTCATCTTTTTTTATACCTACTGTCAAAATAAAGCGATAATCAGGTGTCAGTATAGATTCTTTCTTTGTTGGGGGATTATCCTTTTCACATAATCGCATTTTCAATTAACGCAATCTGATTAAAATCATATCCTGACCTTTGATCCGCTCACATAGATCGCTACACATTGATCCCTTGTGTATAACGATCTATGAGAGCGGATCAAAGAATATGGTTTTAATCAGATTGCAATAAACGATTTTAATCAAGAACAAAATCTAAATTTGGTTAGATGAAATTGACCATGGAATCCCGGGTCTCTAATTTACATTGCGTACCCTGGCTAGGTCATTCTAATCGCAGACTAGGGCCTTAAGACCATGACCAAAAAACTGATAAGAACGAAAAAATAGATTTAAGACTTGTGTTAAATTTAATTTTGATTCTAAACATCTTGAGAATACCTCGATTTTTTTTTTTTTTTTTTTGCAACTAAACTCTTTAAATAGAAATATTTCAAAAATTGAATATTTATATATAATAATTAAAATTTGAGAACATTATAAACATTTTGGTTGATTATCAAAATTATTTCAAAATTCATATATTGTCTGATGTTTCTGACTTCAAAAGTCTGCATTCAATTATTTGAAATAATTTATGAGCTTTAACACATATAATATTTTGTGGAAAATACATTTAACCTTTAATTCGTGATTATTATTGAAAGAAATCAAAATTTTTGCAGAAAAATTAAAAATAAACTGATAAAGTACCTGTATATTTTCTATTACTAAATTTTTAAATTGAGATTTAAAACGCTTCGCAATTTGTGATTTTTTTATTTTTTCTTTTTATTATCTGAAACCTGTGTAATCATTCCAAACCTATTTTTTTTTTTTTGGACTGGACATAATGTGATTACTTCAAAATTTATAGGATGTTTGACCAAAAGTCTCCAGTTTACTGCCAGCGAATTAAAATAAAGTAGATCCTGCAAACTTATTTGGACTGGACGTATAACCAATTAGCGAATTAAACATAGTACTTCATACAGCATGTACTTCATATTTTTAAATAAACAGATTATATAATTATATATTAATTATACTCACCACTACAGCTGCATTTCAGCTGACATCCAGTGCACGTGCACCCAGCTCCACATTTACATCCGGGTCCACATTTACAGACGCTGGGCGGACAGGACTGAAATTCCACGCATTGGCATTTTCCACCTAAGAAAAATAACACTCAGGATCAAAGAGCGATAACTCCAATAATTATTAATCTATGAGACAATGCATCTAAATCTATGCAAGATCATTCCAAGTTTTACTTATGTTTAGCGTCCGCGTGTACTTAGGTTTCTGACACCTCGTATCAGATAAAACAAGCAAATTCAGGAGGTCTACATCTAATCATTTTGGCTGAAATCTTTGATTTCTGCCGATTTCTCTTATTTTTTGTAATATGTCATACTCATATAGTAGGTGTATTAAAGAATTTATTTCTTGATTTTTCTAAATAATAGATCTTATTTTACGAGATTAATACATCATTATTATTACCTTAAATAATATATTTTTCGGATTGCGTGTGGGGTTTTGGTGTATAGGTAGGTTTTTGAATGATGGGTGGACGCTAAACAGAGAAATTGTGAATGGCCTAAGTAAAAAGAATAATTAAGTCATTTTCATTCAAAGTTAGTAAAGTGATAAAACAAAAAGGGGGTGGTGACAAAAAGCACGGAAAGTTAACTCTTTTTTTTTAATTATTTTTTTTAGGGAGTAGATATACGTATCATTTATTTACTCCCAAAATACATCCAAAAAATATACCAATACATGGCGATGCATCCAAATTTTTGCTTTGTATGGTGTGTACTGAAAAAAACTAATATAATACGACTTACTTTCTGTGCAATTGCATGTGGCAGGCATTCTTCTTTTTTTAATAAGTGGACAGGTGGATACCCTCTGAAATAAAGTTAAAATATTTCTACTATTTTTTTCATAATGTCGCATCTCGCAAAAGCTATATACATTTACGTTCACACAGTCTGGTTGATCATTTAAATTGAGTTAAATTATTTTTTTTAAATAAAATTATTCCCATCAAAATATTCTAAGATTTAAAAAAAAACAGTACCTTTCTGCTTCAAAGTTATCTGTCTAGTGTCTTGGAGAATTCGACGCCAAATGAATGAAGAATAGAAGGTGAATTCCCACGAAATATTTAGTGCTGGGTGCAAAGGGTCCATAATTAAGTGACTCCTCGGCCCGTGTGTAGTTGTCGTGTGCAAACTGTACACAAAATGTAACAGTGTGTCAAAATAAAAATAGTTCTAATTGTAACGGGGACCGTTACAGATGTTCCCCAAACGCTCCCCAACTCCCTTTTTGTGCCAATTTCCTTTAAAACTTTTTTTTAATATGCTCAGTTATCGCAGGATTTCATAAAAGATTTTTAAAGCTACAATGATATCAACTTTTTGTCATTTAACGCACTGCACACAAACGCAAGTGCATGCACATGCAAGGTGATCATGGCATGTTGTAAAAACTATTTACATATCTTTATATTCCAAGAATCAATAAAAAGTCATAAAAATATAAATGTTACCGTTTTTCAAATTCATTGTTCATTTTTCGCATTGCGCTTGCGCAAATACATTCAAGCACGTCCTTGCATTCAATTTTGATAGTAGTATCATGTAGGAATCCATTGTACTTATTCATATTCTAAATTTCATCTTGTTATGTTGAGAAACAAGAAAGTTATAGGCTTTTAAAGTTTCAGCCAATCAGATTGCAGCACACGTAAATTTACGTGCTTTCATGAAAATTCTTTTATTTCATTCTGTAGATCTTCATAATGTATGACTATGTTCAAAATGTCAAAGGATTATGACGTAAAACAAGAAAGATATTGATACTTTAGTTTTAACCAATCAGAGCGAAGCGCACGTGCATGCGCGTAAGATCTTGCTATTTTGACAATGTCATCTTGTTGATACTACTAATATATCCATGCATTGTGAGTTTCCAAAAATTCCATCAAGAAATAGAAAAGTTAAGGCTTCATCCATTATATTGGTAATTTCACATGTTGCACGTGTGCGCTCTTGCCAGCACACGTGCATGTACGTACTTTCATGAAAATTCTTATATATCATGCTGTCGACCTTCATAATGTGTGACTA